GAGAGTACTTCCTAATCGGAAATACAACGATTACGTATGAGCTCTTGTTGAGCTAAGGGGGATGTTGTGTGTCATTAATAATTAGCGTGCTAATTATTGACAAAAGTCACAAGTTGTGATTTTCTATTATTATAACGTTTTTTATTAATTGTCGACAAGAGTCACAAGTTGTATTATATGCTATATAAAGCGAACAATTTTTTTTTGTAAATGTGAACTTTGCATATAAGTAAAAGAAAACATTAACAACAAAAAAATGGCTTTTAAATGTGTCAAACAACAAATTCAAACACAATTTTAGAATACATAAGATCAGCATTTCCTTTTGAAAGAGTATTAATGGCCAATTTTAGTGGTTTTAAATTAACACAAAGTTTATTTATGACATCAAGCTCACTTTTAGGTAAAGAAAAATCAATATTAATACCAATCAGATCTATTTTTACTTCTGTTTGCACCTCCAAAAAACGTTCAATCATATTAATAGTGCTGCTTCACTTCGTCCTTGAATCACAAATCAAAGCCTTTTTCAAACTTTTCAATTATATTTGGTTGAAGTTCATCATCATTGCTCACTGGCGATCTACGAAATTTTTTAATTAATTCTCTTACTTTTGCCACAGTTTCTTGATATTCTAGTTTCAATAATGGAATAGAATCTTCACTAATTGCAGGAACAATTTGAATATCATCACCAACTTCAGTCCCATCTTCATCATCACTGTAATCTTGATCATAATCTATAGATTTTATATCACCATCAACAGGGTTATTATCAGAACCATGTGCATCAATAATTTTTTTTTTTAAAGAGCACATCAATCACACATAGATGAATAGCGTGGTTGTAACACATTTGATGTTCAGGTTTAGTGTCATGACAAATTTAGCTTTATCGCTGATCAATTTAATAGCTTATGTTCATCTTTTATCTTTTGTAATTTACTTAAGTTTTTTTCATTAAATGTAAGACTAAATTTACATTTATCTTCAAGTTTCATTTTCAAAGAACTTATAACTTGTTTCTTGACTAACATGAAGTATTTAATGACAAGATCATGAATGGTTTAAGAATAATGGTATTTTGAGAATAATTTTACTGAGTTTACACTCAGAACTCTGTAACTCTTCAGAAAATTTGAAATATTTCCATACCTCAGATCATTTAGTTGTGGCTACATCTTTAAATTTATCCATATTTTGAACAACTAAAACTTTTATTAGCTCGTCAACACTATATTACTTTTTTTTAACCTTTTTTTTCCTTTGTGATTTAAACTTTAAAAGTGTTGCTATTGAAAAAAAGTATTGCACAACAAAATTAAGAGTAACGAAAACTGTTTAAAAAAGTCACAGTTTAAAAAAGATTTTGGTTTAACTGTTAATAAATGATAATAAAGAATCTAGTTTTGATATAAATACATGTTCAAACATTTTGATATAAATGTTCAAACATTTTGATAAGAAAAGTTCAAACTTGAACCTTTTAATTTAACCTTTCTAATCACTGTATCATGACAACATTTAAATTGCAAATTCAATTGTGCAATGATTAGTATATGCTTATACTCATTTTTTATTTAACAGATCCTTAATTTTATTTAAATAAAAGTTCTTTGAAAATAGGTAAACCCTGTACTCAAATGAAGGGAAATTTTATAAAAATCCTAAAATGTATAATTGTTTTAGAAAATAAAAATTTAATAATTTTTAAAAATATATAAGAAAACTTATGAAAAATGTTTTTTAATTTTAAATAAAAAACTGTAGTTTTTCTGCAATAAAGCGTGTACACGAAATAAATGTGAAAGAATAAGTACGCCATTTTTTTTCAGTGTTTTTATTAAAATCTTTTTAATTGTTTTGTATTTTATTTACAACGTGTTGTGGTTTCAAAAAAATGTATTAGTTTTTTGATTCAACTTAAAATTAGTTTTAAAAATGACAAAAGAAGAAAACATAGGATAAAAAATTATGCACAAATATTTGGAAAATCCCAATAGTAACTACAATTTGATAGCAAAAGCGTTGCAAATACACCCATACACTGTTAGTCGTGTAATCCAAAGTTTTTCTCAAACAAAATCAATCAAACATAAATCTGGTGGTGGAAGAAAAAAGGATTTTAAAGATAAAAAACAAGTTAGAAAACTGGTTACCAGTTTTAAGACTAACCCAAGCCTTTCACTAAGGGAGCGCACAAACATTTATGGACTTTTTCATAGTTTTGTTGTAAAAGTTCGAAATAAACATGGTTTTCATTCTTTCAAAGCACAAAAAGTGCCCAACCATTCTGAAACTCAACAAAAAGTGCAAAAACCTGCTGCAGAAAGTTGTATGACAATTTTATTTTTAAAAATTTTCTGTATTATTGAAGACGATGAAACTTATATCAAGTATGATCATCAGCGAATTCCTGGTGCTGTCTATTATATTTCCAAATGTAGAGGAAAAGCAGATAAGAAACTTAAATACATAAAACATGACAAGTTTGCTAAAAAAAGTCTTGATTTGGCAAGCTATTTGCAGTCGTGGCAAAAACTCAGCACCTTGTATTTCTCAGTCCACACTTTCGGGTCAAATATATGTTAAAGAGTGTTTACAAAAACCTCTCATTAAATCACATTATAAGAGACCTGTGTTCTGGCCAGATTTAACTTCAATTCATTATTGTAAACTAGCTTTGGAATGGTATAAAAATAATAATGTGAAATTTGTGTCTAAAACAGAAAATCCTCCCAACTGACCAGAATTAAGAGTTATTGAAAAGTACTGGGCCATTATTAAAAGAAAAATGAAAAAAAGAAAAAAAACTTTGCAGAAATATTAAAGATATTAAAATATCATTTAAAAAAGCATCAAATAGCTTCAATTCTTATTCTGTGCACAAGCTTATGGGTACCACCAAAGCAAAAGTTCGAAATTTTATTAGATTCCCACAAGAATAATTTGATTTTTTTTTTTTATATATATATATATATATTTGATCTTCTTATATTATTGTATTAAAGTTATTACTTGGTTGGAAATAAAAATTGAAGAGTACTTTTTTTAGTTGTTTTTTTACTTTCACATTTATTTCGTGTACACTCTTCAAATCTAAAAAATAAATATTAAAAAATATTATAAAACGTAAAAATTAAATATAAATATGGTCTGGGTCTAGGAGACTAAGAATTAGAAAAAAACAAAACTACTGCATAAATGATTTTTAAAATTAAAATATTCATGTAATGCACAGATCATGATATTGCACATTTCACGAAATGTGCAAGTTGATGCTCATTTTGTGAACTAGATAGCGCCATTGCGTAGATCATGAAATGCTGAATTTTTATATTATTTTTTAAATAGTTATATTTAATATATATAATATATATTTGTAATTGACTTAAATAAGGAATTGTTTAGTATATAGCAATTTCTTATTCAATCTTAGCCAACCCTCCGAATTAGGAAAAATGAGGTTGGCAATAATTTGCCGACCTCAATCTTTTTGAGCTTGGCATCAGGTAGGCAATAATTATTTGATACAAAGTTTTGACCATAAAACATAGAAACGAGGTCGACAATGAATGGCCTGAAAGTTTTTGAGGTCGATTTTGCCGACCTCAAAAACTTTCAAGCCAGCAGTTAGGTCAGCATTAATGCCGACCCTAATTCCGAGGGTTGATCTTAGCATATAGCTTAGTACCGTCAAAGGCTTTGATTTTAACATCAAATAATCTGGAAGCATGCATTTTGATGATAAATGGAAATTACTATTAAATATTATTATAATTTATAATTTTTATTACAATATTATTATTATAATTTTTTTTATTATTATTAATATTATTATAAATTTATTTCAGATTACATAAATAATGTAACTATTATTTGAGCTCACTTATTTTTATAGTTTATAGCCCTCTAATAAATTACATAAAATTTTTAATCGAAATACTATTAAAGTTAGCTAAAGTTGCACAAAAAATATGGAAAGAATTATAAAAGGTCACAACAATGCTTTGTTAAACAAAAAAGAAATCCAAAATGATAAAACTACAGAAAATTGTAATTGTAAACAAAAAAACAATTGTTCAATGAGTGGAAGTTGCTTATCAAAAAATGTGGTATATAAATATGTGTTGTCTCCTCTAAGAATGTACCTGATAAACAATATTTTGGCATAACAGAAGGTGAATGGAAAAAACATTTTGCCAATCATAAGCAATCTTTTAAAAATAAAAAGTATATAAAAGACACCATGCTGTCAAAATATATATGGGAATTAAAAGATAAAAATATTGATGATTTTACACTGAATTGGACCATCCTTAAAACAGTGCCTGCATATAACAATATTTCAAAAAAATGTATACTATGTCTACAAGGAAAATTTGAAATAATTACACATACAAACAAAGAATGTTTATTAAACAAAAAATCGGAACTGATTTCTAAATGCAGGCACGAAAATAAGTTTCTCCTAAAAAACTATAAAAATAAGTGAGCTCAAATAATAGATACATTAACTCCCCTTTGAAAAAAATATATTATTTTTTAAAAAAGCTTAAGTAATCATTTCTAAAGAATTCTTTTTACAATAGTGTCAGCAAATTACACATATGTGTGAAAAATTGCAGTAGTTAAGACATGTGACTTCCTGTAATTTAATTTTTGGTATAAATTGAAGTTTTATTAATTTGATCATTCATTTCTGATGAGTCTTTATTGATAAAACACAGTGTTTAATAAGAAAAAAAAAAAAAAATTTGCTAAGTGATTTTCTACTAATTTATATATATATATATATATATATATATATATATATATATATATATATATATATATATATATATATATATATATATATATATATATATATATATATATATATATATATATGTATATATATATATATATATATATATATATATATATATATATATATATATATATATATATATATATATATATATATATATATATATTGAAGCAATCATAAAAGTACTCACTAATAATTTCTTGTGATAAATGGTTTGTTTTCTTTGCTTTACTGTTACTATGATTCTCCTCACTCCCAGAAAAACTATCCCAATCAGAACCGCTATCCTTTAATAAAAATAAACTATATAGGTAAAAATGTAGCAATAAAAGCACATTAAGATTAGCAATATAGCATCATACCAGGCTTGGACAAGAATGGTGTGTGATCAAGCGCTAATGTTGACCACACAAATGATTTTATTTTTTGACAACCTGGCCACAACTGTCTAGATGTTTAGATAATTTTTTAACATTTTAGGAATGCGCTAAAAAAAGAAACGCTAGCTTAACTTAAGCTAGAAAAAAAATTGAAAAAAAAAAGAAAGAAAAAGAAAACAATTCCTTTCGAAAAAGGAAATAAATATGCACTAAAATTTTTTTTTTTCTTTTTAGGCCATAAAGGCCAGTAGAGTTTAAGAGGCTATTTTAGTTGTTACAACCCTCTCTCAAATCTATAACTCCGAAACACGAACCTTAATGAACAAGGCTGCTGCACAGAGAAACATGTTGAGCATGGTACTACCAGAGATGTGGTTGGGCTCACTTATGAGGCGAGTGCTCTACCACTACACCACTACCACGTTTTATCGTAAAAAAATATTTCGATATATAAATTCTAAAAAGGCACAGTGGATAGATTTAATTTTAAAGCGCAAAATAGAATATGACAAACCTTAAATGTATTGGTATAATCTCTTTCATTGCAGATAATGCAATGAAAGAGATTATACCAATGTATACCCACATCTTAACTTGCTAGTTGATGTAAGTAATGTAAGCCTCAGATCTCAACCAGCTAGTTAATGTACACTTCTCCTTATAACTTTAAAGAAATACACAAAGATTGTTTGTGAGTATTTCTCCAATATAAAAGAAATAAAAACCTGAGTTGAATATTTTCCAGATCAGCACCTTTGAGTTCTCCAGTTGCTCTTTGATGATAATTAATAATTATAATAATTATAACACATTGTGTTTCTATTTTGTGATCAAATAAAACTAAAAAATTCAAACTCGAAGCAAAAATTACTTTTTTGTCACGTTTTTAATTGCGTTTAAAATAAATTACTTATAATATCTTTTAAAACATTTTGTTATACAAAACGTTTTTACAAATTACTTTTAATGATTGTTTAATGAATGAACAAATTTTATTTAAATCACTAAAACGTGTTATACTAATTATTTTTAAATTGTATTCCATTTATGAATTCTTTATGAATAAGTCAAATTAAACTTTCCATTGCAATGGAAAATTTAATTTGATTTATTGATAAAGAATTTGACTTATTGATAAAGAATTTGACTTATTCATAAAGAATTATTTTTCAAAAAATTTTTAAAAAGAAAAATAGTTTTAAACTATTAAACTATTAAGTTATTAAATTTATCATGAAAAAAACATGCCTAAACATAAAACAAATTTAAATATAACATTTGTTAATATAAACAAAAAACATTTATTTTAACAATCACTATACACACTTTTTTATTTTATTTTCATTTTATGACTGCCTTCCCGTTATAAAAAACTTAAAAAAATAAAAACTTTATGAAAGATCAACGATTAAAAGTTATTTAACATTATTACCATTTAAACCGTCGTGATCAAATTGTAAAGAAAAAATATCATAAACATGGTCAGTTACAGTGTGCGATTCCTGTCCATGCCATGCATACTAATTAAGGAAGCTGTGAGAGTATATACATAGACTATATAGATAGATACTTATATCTATAATATACATACTTTTTTAATTACTTATCAAAAATGATTGGAAATCGACTCGGACGTATTACCTCACCCGTCCTACAGCCCTTATTGAGGCCCATCAGACTACCAACTGTTTTATTCATTACAAAATTCTTTAGCTAGAAAAACATTTACATAAGACGAATAAATTAAAACATACCTTAAGAAATTTGTCGTTCTAAAAGATCAGAAGTTTTATAAATAAGGCATCATGAAACTACTGAAAAAATGACAATTTATGATAGAACAAAACATTGAACAAAACAATTTGTGATTTTGTGGTTTAATTACTTCCTACAATTAAATTAATGCGTTTTGACATTGTGTATCCTTAATTTTGTCAACTTTAATACCACAAACAAGCTAAGAGCTGTTTTTTACCACAAACTAAGTATCTAAGCCCTTTACCATAGATATATATGTATGTATATATATATATATATATATATATATATATATATATATATATATATATATATATATATATATATATATATATATATATATATATACACATATACAAGAATTCCCGGAAAGTGTGTGCGATTGCAAGCCTTGTACATCCACGGTTAAACTAATTTTTTTAGACAACTTGACTATGTTTTTATATAGTAAGTGTTTTAAGAATTCATTGCAAAAAAAGCAATAAAAAACTAGAGATTAGAACAACTCGAAGAAAAGAACCGAAGACTAGAAAAACTAAATAAAAATAAGCTTAAAAAATATAACAATAAAAAAAAAATTGTTGTCAAAAAATTTTTTCGCAACTTTTTTTAGTCAGTATATAAAGAAAATAGTTAAATTCGGCTAGAAACACGGACAAATTTTAAATTTGTTTTTCAAATATCATTGCTAAACTTTACTGTTTTTATCAATGCACAGAAAAGCGAGAAAACTTTAAATTAACAAATATAGCAAAAACTTTTTTAAAAGTGAAAAGACATAAAAATGAATAAATGTAATAAACAAATAAACGTAAGGAAAAAAATTAACAAATCTTATTATAGTTTTAGCATACATAGCAAATTGTTTATATGTTTTGATGATTAAAACATTTCAGAAATGCATTGAATGTAAAAACACTAAACTAGGAAAAAAGTTAAAAAATAAATAAAATCCTAACAAAAAAAGAAACGAAAAAAAAATTCTTTACAAAAAAGAAATTATATAAGCACTAAAACAAAAATAAAAAATAAAAACTTAAAATCTAAGCGAAACTTTTTTTTACGTTTTTAATTACGTTTGAAATAAATGTTATTAAAACTTATCTTTTTTAATGTTTTATTAAAGTTACGCAAAACGCTTTTAAATTAAGTAACAAATTTGTACTAAAAATTGTTTAATAAATTAACAAATTTTATGAAATTAATTAAAAAGTTTCATAAAAAATTATTTAATAAAAAAATGTAGTCTTTTTAAAATAGTAACTTTTAATAATTTCATGCTTTGATTAATAAGTCTAGTAAAAAAAAGCTTTTTGACTTTTTTATTTGTAAAAATAGGAAAAAAATAAATAAATAAAATGCGCCTGCAGTTTAAATAAAATAAACTGCCATAAAGCAACTTAACGTATTTTTAATTTGAGCGTTACAACTTTATTAAGCTTTAAGTAACGAGTTTAAAAATTACTATTTAAAAATTATTAAAAGATTTAAACTCATTCATTCCTATCGTAATTGAATAATAAATAAAAAATTCTTTAAAAAATAAAATGTTTATTTAAAAGATTTTAAAAAATTTAAATTTAACTATAAAAATTAATTGTATGAAAAACTTTTCCATTAATCAACAAGATATAAGTAAATGAAGTTATTTTATATTCTTGTATAATTTACATAAAATGTGTAAAAGCTATTAGTCACAAAAGGTCTAGAATTTATTCATAAAATTCTTTCTAAAAATAATGGTTTAAAAGATTTTTAGGAAGACATGGAAAAATAGTTTTAAACATTTAAATTTATCATAAAAAATACATTAAAAAAATTTATATGGAAAATTTTTTATTAATTTACACATGCGTTTGTGTAAACAATCATTATAATTATTTTTTATGGTTTTATTTAAAGCCCTTGTGAAAAATAAAAACTTAAGAAAAGATCAACAATTAAAAACTATTCATAATGTTACACTTTTTTATTGCACTTAAATTGTTAAAGCATCAAAATAGCAGTGGTCAAGTTGTAAAAATATATATATATTAGCGTGGTCAGTAACTGAGTGCAATGGCACATGATTCCTGTCCAAGCCTGATGCAGCTGTTTTCACATCTAGTGTGAACTATGCAAAAGCTTGCTAGTTTTATTCATTCTCTGAAGAATAGTATCCCAAAGTGCAGTTAAAACTCCAGTTTCTAGCATATTAAACCAATTTAATAACCAACAGCTTTCTGCCTAGCAACAGCTTTCTCTTTATTATCTTTTGAAATTGCACTAAGAGCTGAGCAAAAGTCCTTGTAGCCATTTGAAAGTGCTCATGTTGCATTAGCATGACTGGAACATGTATCAGAAAATCGCTTTGGTACCGGTACATGTTTACTCAAATTGATGAGAAGAATATGCCAGCAACCTGTTGATGCACTGAAAAACATGCATACATTTTGAACTAAATCGAAATATTTCACAGCAGCTCAAATATTTCACAAACAATCAATAGCACTGCTTCCTACTAAATTTAATGAATGTGCAAAACAGGGTAAAAATATAGCAAGTGGACTCACCGTTTGAATATTTGCTCGAACTCCATTATATTGATCAGACATATTTGAAGCATTGTCATAGGTCTGACCACGACAGTTATCGATATCTATACCATTATCATCTAAATAAGACAGCAATACTCTTGCTAATTTTTGACCAGTATGGGTTTGTAAATTATTAAATGTTAGGAACCTTTCTATAAGCACAGTTTTATTTACATACCGAGCTGTAACAGACAATTAGTCAACATGTGATATATCAGGTGTTGAGTCAATTGAAACACTGTAATATTTTGCTTCCTTTATTTCATTAACTATAAAATTTATCACTGCTTGCCCCATTAAAGCAATAAGTTCTTCACAAATAGTCGATGACAAGTATGACACATTTCCCCACCGTGTCTTTCCTTTTTTTTCTATATGAATTGCTAAAATTGGATCATACTTTTCCACTACCTCTGAAATACCCATGTAATTACCATTTTCATGTTAAACAAACTTTTTTACATGACCTCGAAACAGCAAACAGCAATCATTGAACCCATGACATAAATCTGTTTGAGTAGATAAGAGAAGCTTACAAATAAAACAGTATATCTTTTCATTTGTTGGGGAATAACAAAGCGAGGTACAGATGGATTTTTCGTTAGTTAGATGATATATCCGTGTGAATAATGCAGATAAACAATAATGAACCCGATTTAGATTATCATATACCCATTTTGACTTTTCAAAATTATTGGTTATATTTTGACTTTCAGCATTTCCTTTCCTGATGAAGTACTCTTACACATCTTTAAAAACACTTTTTCACAATCCTATATTGGTTTGATATGTGCCCTGATGTTCTTCGTTGGTTTGATAATTAATTTGCTTATCAGCAATTATAACATTAGTATATAACAAAGTATCTATGTTGTTGTTTGCTTCTAAATGAGACTGCAATTCTATTAATAGAACTGCATTATCCATTATTCTTGACTTGGTGAAAAAAGTATCAACTTTGGTGGTCTTTTTTATATATATTTTTTTCTCTTTCACTTTTTTCTGACGCTTTTTTTTGCTTAGCAGCACCATTTTAATTTAGCCACCTAAAATGTGCAATAAAAAGAAATACTTACTGAAACCGAACACCGTCAAACCTAATTTTATCTATGTTACACAAACGAACATCAAACAACATACAAACGACATTTCAAACAAATTTATTATGTAAAACAAAACTCATTGAACAATAGTAATGTTTTACTTCAAAAATCTTTTGTAATTACCTAAATAAGATACTTACACACTTCTTTTGAATGAATTGAATCACAAGAGAAAATGCTAACGCCAGCTTATTTTTGAGCTAAGTTAAAAATTATTTTTTCCTATACATGGCTTTCTTGAGAAGTAATAACCTTGTAAGGTAACAAATTCGAATTAGACAATATAGCTTTTATTTATGAAGGTTTCAGAGAAATTGTATAAAGAAAATAGTATGTGTTCAGAAACTTTTTTTTCTAAAAAATTAAATTGTGGGGCCTGAGGCCAATGATAATCCGCTACTGTACATATATATTATATATATATATATATATATATATATATATATATATATATATATATATATATATATATATATATATATATATATAAACATTGTTCATAAAATTTAATAGTGAAAAATGCATTTTTAGTAAAGAATCCTTATTTCACAAAAAAAACATAAAATTGTTTTAAAAATACAGGATAGAGCAAACAAAATATATGCATAAGAAAAATCTTAAGTAGTTTTCTATAAATAGTTATAGAAAACTACTTAAAATTCATAATTAACAAACTTAATATGATTCGTATTAAGTTTTTAAATTATGAATTTTACTAATGATATAAAATGAAGACAGTAGTAGGTGTATAAACTTTTACAAATCAAAAATCTAAAAATTTCAGTATGTTGAAATTTTTCAACAAATACATAGTTTAGTACATACAAATAAAAGCTAGTATATTAGAGTAAATACTCAATTGTTTTTTCCACTAAAAACTTTATTATTTTTTAAATAATGGAAAATTAATTCGAATTCATGAAAGTATTTTTCATTATGTTTTAATACGTTTTAATAGTGCAGTTTTTTAGTGTTTTTTTAGTATAACTTTATCCAAATTCTTACGTTTTAGCAGTTTTTAAACAATACGATAGTAAGATTTTTAAAAATTTTTTGTAATAAAACTACTTATTCTCTGCAAATATTCTTATCAATATATATCAAATAATCTTTTTATTCTATTCTCGCAACTTACCATAACTTTTTTGTAACCGAGACGCGTATTTCAAATCCAATAAAAATAACAGCCGTTTCCGCGGGGTTTCAACTAAATTTGTCTATTGGAGAGACCGGTGCACAGTGGGATAAAATCGCGTTTTTTGTGCCAAAATTATTTTTTTTAAGTTACTATTTTAGATTTTTTAGATTTTTTAGATAATTAGAACTGTTATAAACTAATTATACAAAACATATAAAATGAATATGAAGCTCATATATATTGCTAAAAAAGTTTATTTTTTAGTTGAATTACCATTAAAAATTACGAACTAGATCTATATTCTAGAACGTAGAATTCTCGCAATTCAACAACACCCGGAGGAAATTTCTTTTTTACAGATGAAACAGTTTTTCTAAAAGATGAAATAACTGGATCAGATGTACATAAAAGTCTTTTCATTACATCTTCGTTTGTCTTTGTTCTTGAATTTGTACGGGAATGATGTTCCCTATATTTTCTAAGTTCTTTATTTCTAGCTTCTTGAGCTTCTTCACTAAATAGACCTATTGGTAAGAATCTTGCATAATTAATTTGCAGTTAAAAAGTCATGAAAAATATTTGAGTTTCAAGAACTTATGAAAAACGTGTTTTTGCAATAAATACTATGAATTGAGTATGAGTTATTTGTTATAACTTTATTAGTTGCAAAAAGTTGCAAAATATTTATGATAAATTGCACTTAAGATACATTAAGCCTCCGATTTACATAATCAAATGTTTGGAGGATATTGGAGGACGGTTTATCTGATACCTAATAGTAAAGGTTAGTAGCAAAAAAAAAAGCCAAAATTGCCTGTCACTGATGCATAAAAACTGAAGATTACACTTACGTTTAATTGTTTTGAATAGTCAGAGCGAAAAAAACAAAGTTAATTCAAATAATATATTTTAAAATCATACTCAATAAAATTAATTTAAAACAATAATAGCGTAAGAAAGTTGATAATTTAAAAATGCAAAAAAGCGTTATGAAACACATGTCAAATTCACGTGTATATAACCGCATAAAACAACGTTTAAATTAATATTTAATTTTTTTTTAACTATATATATCCTCTAATAAACATATTTTCACCATTATGACATATTTTCAGAATACAATGCCGATAGTGATTTTTTTGTATTTTGGCACACTCTGTCCCACTGTGCGGTGTAGCGGTAAATTAAGACTCCAGGAAATTAGGACTTTGAAGTCTTGATTTCCCGAGAAACCAAGACTTTGAAGGAAAATTTGACGGGAAAATATGATGTTATGAGTCATAATTTCCCGGGAAATTATGATTGGAGCGGTAAATTAAGACTCCAAGAACTTGCGATTCAAAAAGCAAATTTACAAAGATGTCGTTCTATTCTGCAGTAAAAAAATTTTTTTTTTTTTAAATTGTAAATAGATTTAGGATAGAATCAAAGTTGATTCGAAAAAAAAAAAAGCATGTTTAAATAATGCGCTATAATTGTTTCATACGTAAATAAATAAATTTTACAAATAAACACAAGTGTGCTGCTTCATGGCAAAGGAAAGAAAACATTTTGATTTGATAACATAGAAGATTATCTTAGGAATAAAAAATACCCTTCTACTAGATCTACACATGATTATGGAATTAAATCAAATTTTCGAAGAGCAACAAAACGGTTTGAAGTGAAAGACGGACATTTATTTTATTATAAAAAAATGGTTATTAAAGACAAAGAACTCCAAATGGAAGTTATTAGAGACGTACACCGAGGTATTGGAGATTCTGAACACTCTAAGGCAATGGCCTCACATAGAGGAAAAAACACTACGTATGATAATATTGATGCTGATGTTAGTAAGTATATTAGGAGCTGCGAACAATGTCAAAAACAGGGTGACCTAAAGTCTCCAAAAGTAGAATTAAAGTCTATACCAGTACCATCAAGTGTAATGGAACAAGTTGGAGTGGACATTTGTAATCTTCCAGTAGTCGATGGGTATCGTCATATCATTGTCTTGATTGATTTTTTTTCAAAATTTTCTTTCAATTTTTGTACGAGATTTGTGTCGGCATGGGTGCTTTAAAATCAAAATCAATGACCAGGGTCGGGAGTTTGTAAACAAAGTATGTAAACAACTACACGAACTAACTGGAGTAGAGCAGAGAGTTACGTCTGAAAAAGCAAAAACGAGATTATGATAGTAGACATTTGTCAAAGTCAGAAATTAAGGTAGATGACATTGTATTATTGAAAAACAACAAACGATTTGATTGGAAGGGTGGGAATTTTTCACAAAAATGGTTCGGTCCTTTCATTGTAGTGAATATCTCTGAAAAAGGAGTTGCAACTTTAAAAAAAGACATTGGGGTTAACTCTTAAAAAAACATACAACGTTGTTCAACTCAAAACTTATATTCAAGGAGCAGACGACAAATTAAAACCAATATTAGTTGAAGGATCTGCATATTTTTGGAATCATGCACCTGACAAAATTGTTGAGATGATATTGATGTATGCCGTGTAACAGTCGGAAAACTCATTCCCTGGACACAAGTGTGAGACCTATGCAAGTATTAAATCAACGTGTAGTAAGTGGGCTCGTTTAATTGAAAGAAAAGGTACTACCTTACTTCCAAAGATATATATTGATTCGTGGAAGCCTCTTGGAAAGCCCTCCGATCATAATAATGAAAGTAATACTTTAAGTACACAAATGCTAATAAAAACTTTTGGAAAATCTAGTGGACTAGCTAGCCAAACTATCAAATTGCATAGGTGATAAAAAGTGGCGATATCTTTGGCTTATCTTGACACCTCAGAAACACTCTTGGTATACCATAGATCGAATCTTCTGGAAAACAAAGGTATGTCAGTCAAATCAATCATCTTTGCAAGTTTTGTCTTTATGGCTTAAGAATGAACTGTATGAGCTCACAGAGGCAGATAGGGAAATTTTGGAAAGTAAAGATAGCTGGTTGAACGACAATCTTATTGACGCAAGGCAAAAATTAATTTGTAAGGCTCTTCTTAGCCATGAAACTTACCAATCAGTATTAAACTACCAGAAAAAGAAGTTTACATATTTCCCAGTTTCTGGCGACGACCTTCAAATATTGCACGACGGTAGTTCTCATTGGCTATTAGCGTTTGCTTCAAATGGCAGGGTTCAAGTGTGCAATAGCCTGCGCTCTAACCTAACATCGATTTCAAAAAAATGTTTAAAATCCCTCTTTCAACCACTTGTGAAGAATGGAAAGCTTGAAGTAACATTTCTTCCCGTTGATAAGCAAATTGATAGTTTCAATTGTGGTGTCTTTGCTCTGAGTCCCCTCTTGATGTTCGACTTGTTGTGAATGAAATGCGTACTTACTATATAAAATGTTTGACAGACGTTCACTTATATCCTTTTCCAACACTTGAAAAGGTCGTCGATGTTTTATGCAACAAACCTAAAATTTTTATGATTTGATTCAAAACTCAAAATTGACTTTTATTTGAATTAATTTTGTTTATAACCATTACAAAGCAAATCGGTAACCATTACTATTTTCGGAATATATTTAAATATTTTTTTATGTAGGTAGTGGTGTAGTGGTAAGATCGCTCGATTTGTCAGCGAGAGGTTCGGAGTTTGACTCCCACCACGTCCCTGGAAGTACCGCGCTCAACTTAATTTCTCCGCACAGCGGTCTTGCTTGTCAAGGTTCGTGTTTCGGAGTTAAAGAGTTGAGCGAGGGTTGTAGCACGATTTACGACAAAAAAAATAAAGAAAAAAAAATGAGTAGTCTCCTCGACTGTAGTGGCCCCCTCGGGCCTTGGGGAGAATAATTTAATAAAAATGTAGCGTCTATCATTCTATTAAAATTACTCTAGTATATTTCTTAGAGTTTTATTTTAAGTATTTACGAAAGAAAATATTGCGTTAAATACAAAATATGAAAAATACCTTATAGTTATTTCTCTATCATCAATTGAAAATAAAATCAATAAAAAAATAAAATCAATAAAAAAAATTTAATTTCATCAAACAAGATATTATTGGAGTCTTAATTTACCATTATTTTACTTTCATCGATAATTTATTTGTGTTATACTTTTAATTCTCTTTCATTAAATCTACGTTTACTTTTTATTTCATAAAACTAATTAAACCATTGAACTGTAAATTGTTGACTGATGATATGGGATCTTGTAAGATGTTTTTTGTAAAAATGTTATCCTTCAAATAGACTTTTTATGTGGACTATTTT